ACAGTATTGGGTTGAGAAATGATATCGTAGTGCTGAGTTCAAAATATTCTTGGGCCTGAATCCAGTTGGGCATTAGCTCCAGGCCAATCTTTGTTAGCATGTCACTAGTATAGGATCAAATCCAGCAAAAGGCAAAACTTTTACGGAGTTTCGATCTGATGAAATGTGGTTGATCAAGTGAGAGAAACAAATCCCATTCGCCTCCGCTATGTCAAAATCCCAACTAAAAACTACCGAGTAAAAAGGCTAACTAAGTACGAGAATATCGAAAAAAAGGGGGTAAGAAAATGCTGGCTTAGAGAGCCTTTGCCTCCTATATCCGTACGTCTGTCCTTCCTAAGTCCATAACCATATTCCGTACTGACATATCGCGTTCAAACAATCCCGCATAAGGCGTTTCTTCTTCCCAGGCATCATCTCCATAAACATAGTGGAACCGATCTATCTAGGCACATCAAGATATGTATACTCGATCATATAACCAATGTGGCTGACTAAGCGCCATTTGGCGGATCAGGTTGCTTATCGTCCTCGTCTTTTGGTGGTGGTGGGGGAGGCGGATTTGCCTCTGCTTCTGCTTCTGCCTGAGCCTGGGCTTGTCGGGCCTCGTCTTCTTCGAGTTCCCTGAGAAATGCCGCGTCCTCGTCCTCCAAATCGGCTTCAGGGTCCGCACCCTCCTCGCCGATAGGGTCCTCAGGGATAATGCCGTTCTGACGCTGCCAAACCTCTCGTCGAATGCGGTCGTCCTTGGCTTTCCGTGCGCGCTCGACCTCCTCAAACCCGCCTGACTTCTTCAGCTTGCCGTCCGCGACAAAATTGGTGATTTCTCGATGGAGTGGGTTGACTTGGCGCGTTGCTAGCTCCTTTTGCCGTAGCTTCTCTGCACGCTCGATAGCTTCCAGTCGATCTTCGTGGTTGGGTTGTAAAGCTCTCACTTCACCAAGAACACCTTCCTTTGCAGCGCTTTGATCGGCACTGTTGCCGAGGTTGATAAGGCCCTTGGAGAACTGGCGGGCGCTTCCGGCACTTGCACCAGTGCCGTTGTCCTTCATCTGCTCCTTGGTAGCCTGCTCCACGAGAGTGAACGTTTCCGAGGCCTTCTCCAGATCGTCTCGCAGATCGACCAAAAGATCCTCCATAAGGCGAAGCTCGTCCCGCCCTTGGCACACGTCCTCTAACTCCTTCTCCCAAATCTTGGTCCAAATAGGTTTCTCCTGGGTCATGTACTCTTCCATTCTCTTCAGTTCCTTGGTCAATGTTGCAATATCCTTTCCAACGGAATCCAATTGTCGCGGCAGTGGTCGGACACCGCGATGCACCACATCCTTACGCAGATCTTCGATAAGGTCCTGGAGGTCGTCCACTTTACCGACCAACCGATCAGAGTCACTGTTGAGTTGCTTACGCCCACTGGTAACATATGAGTAACCAGCGTCGCCTTCAATGTCGGGGATGGCAGCTTTGGCTGTTGCAACCTTGACGTTGGCAGCTTTTGCGCGAATGGTAGCCATTGAATCTTGAATGTCTGCCTGGAAATTCGAGTATGTCTGTCGCATAATGGCCAGATCTCGTCGCAAGGTCTTCAGTTCTCCGAGATGACTACTATCCAACTTCTTTCCAGAGTTAAACTGTGTCTTTGTTCCGTCAGACGAGTGAGAAGTTGATGGAGGTGATAGTGCCAGCCGAGCCATTTCATTGGCAGCCTCTTGTTGTCGGTCTGAAACTCGTTGAAGTGCAGCTCCGTGATCCGTCACTGTCTGCTTGACATCCCGAACAATTTCGGTTAAGGATGCAATTCCATCGTCGATATGTTTCTTGACTTCGTCCAGAGCCTCAACATTGAGCACCAGAACAGTTCGGTCTTTGACATCTGCGAGATCTTCCAGTTCGTGTCGTACACCAGAAACCGGGTCTTGAATGTAAATTTCGGGGAGGTCTGCGCCATTATGTTGTGTATTCCAAGAAAACTTCTCGATAAATGCGAGTTGAAGCCGTCCAATGGTAAGCTCGGCGCGTCCCTCCGGCAGAACAAACTTCTTTACCTTGGACTTGTACTGGAGGAACAAGGTCAGGTCCTTCGTGGGAGTCGGAGGGGGCGAATCTTGGAAGTATGAGGTCTCGGCAGACTTTTGCTGTGGTGTGGGAGCAATTTCAGGTTCGGCCTTTGGCTTCTCGACTTTTGGTGTTTCTGGCGCATCATCGCTGAAGAACATAGGATCAGTGGGGGGGCCACTGAGTGTTGCGCTGGCAGCATACGCTTCATCGGGTGTCTGCACCGTAGGAGGGTCTGGCTTTGCGGGTAATTCTGCTAATGAAGATTCCTCAGAAACACTGTCTGGTATCCTGACGGGAGAATCTTCAGCAGGAGCCGTAGTTCGCAGAGACTGGCTTGAGGTATTACGGTTGTGGCGTATAGACTGTCGGCCTTGAACTGCTCGTAGTGATTCTCGGACTTCCTTTCTTCCTCGGTTTGGCACAGGTGAATTCTGCGGTGGAAGAATCGGTACACCATTAGCACCTCCCAGATGCTTGGATATCTGATATTGAGAATATCTGCGTGAAGCTCGTCTTTCCAGATCTCCACCCTTCTGTAGAGCGGCCAGGGCACTTGAGGTATTGTCGGGCGGAGGTGGTGGAGGCGGAGGAAACGAATCGATATTTAACTCTCCTCCATGTGGTCCAGGAGGTGCTGGAGGTCCAGTGGGGATACTGCTTTCACCCTCTGGATAAGGCGGAACAACTGGCATACTTTGCATCGTGTTGCTAGATAGGGAAGACTGCTCTGATATGGCGGATGCTCGAGAGGATTCTCGCTGGGCATTAAAGCGACGTGGGGACTGGTTGGTACTGCCGCCCGACTGACGCAAAGAATCAGTCGGTTGGGAGTCAGGCTGGAAACCATTCTCTAGACCCTCCTCCAACATATTGGTGAGTCCGCTGTTGCCGCTTCCAACGGTACTGACGCTGGTTGCCCTATCGGGAGGTGCATGGCCGTCGCGGTCCCGAGCTTGCTTCTGGCGGAGCTTCTGTTGTTTGCGCTTTAGGCCGTGTAACAGATTAATAATGATGTCCCGGATCCTAGGCAAATATTTCTCCAAACTCTCGGCACTCGCCTCTTGGCTCAACGTCGCTTCGAGAATATGTCGCAGTAGATCGGGCACGTTTCCTAAGTCGGATGTGTCAACGTGGATGGCCGTGAATGCGCGACACGCCATATTGAATTCATAACCCAAGCGCACGTAAACGTCAGACACTTGGCTATCGGTAGCTTGTCCGCGCGACCATTGTGTCAAGGTCTCAAGGAGCTGTTTTGTTGCGACGAGGAGGTGTGTGACGCTCTTTTCGATCTGCGATAGAGGCATATTGGAACCGCTGCCGGAACCCTGAGAGATCATGGAGCGTCAGCATCTTGCTTTGCAATTGGGCATGGGACGTGGGGCAGGGCTCGGCAGGGGCACACTCTCGCCCACGCTGAGCATTATGATATACTCACTTCACGGTTCATCCTGCGAGACCCAGTCGATTGTACAGATCTCGCTGAGGCGCTTGAGGCTCGAGCCTGAAGCGCCGGCGAGATGGATCGGACAGGAACATTTGGTGGTGGCCCTGGCTCAGCGCCAGGCGAGCGACGATGGGCAAAGGCGCGTTGAGAACCGGATGACGGAGCTTGCATGACGGACGATGTATGCTCGGATATATGTATCTAAGTCGCGACGATATATTCGTTTTGTCGATGACGGTCCAGAGAGCGAATAAGAAGTGGGAGCCTCGGTCGACGAGCAGGTGGCTTGGTTAGGAGATTAAGCTCGGTGGAAGCCCAGTGCTTAATCTACGGATTTTGGGTGCCTTCGAGGGGCAAGAGGCATCATCAGAACGAGCGGCAGGCAAAGCGGATCGCAAAATCGATTGTCGGAGTAGGAAAAAGGGCGTCGCAAAAAAAGATCGAGGCAGGTGATGTACCTGGAGAGAGTGCGGCTGACGTGGGAAGAGAGAGGATTGGATTGAATTGTGGGAGGAGAGTCGAGCACTGTAAAGTGTGGATGGATTGAATGATTGATTGATGATGGTGGACGGCGGTAGGTAGGTAGGTGAGGTACAGTAGTTAGTGGATGAAGTTAGGTTCCGTACGGGCTCTAGCGGGTACTAGATACAGCACGACATCAGTGATTCGACAGCTGAAAATACCTTAGTAGGCTAGGTACCAAGACTCTTAGACCAGGCAGTGCCCAACCTTACCTGGCCTTGATCCAGATGGAGATGGAGATGACCCCTGTATAAGCACGTGCCACTTCCCATGGCGTTTATTCTGCAACCTAGGAACGGAGAGAGCATGGATGAGATCCAATTCTGGGGGAGCCTATGAACCAACAGTTTTTGTGATCATGGGACTTTATTAGCGATAAGGCTTGGATACAGCCGTTTCAACATTCTTCAAGCAGCGTTTTTTAAAAGCACTAGCTAAATGTTGCTAGCCAATCGAGTCCCTACCATTCACTGTAATTACATAGAGGTTACCCGCATAAATAACTGTTGATGAACTCGGCACAAATTGTGTTGATGCATAATGCATGCAAACAATCTACTCGAGTTACACTATCTTGTAATGAATGATATCATGGCCAGAATCAGAACAAACCACGCCAAGTCGTTTCATAGTTGGTTCAATATATCCCGCGGGACGGGCTGTCGGCTAGGAAACGGCTTTACCGCTACCACGCCTTGACCAGCCACTTCATGGATCTGGGGTTATTAAACTTGGCTATTGTTTCGAAAAAACTGTTTCGTTGGGACAAGGAGGTTCTTGATGAATATTTCATTGCGGTCAATAATACGTTCAACGAACGATATGGTATCCTAAGTTCCTATCCTTAACGAATGGTGCTGTCCAAGCAATATGTTTCCTCGTAATATCATATATCATCAACGCCTGTACGCCGTATTCGTTATCCTTTCGTGTATCTCGCTGGTTCCTTGTTTCTCTCTCTCTCTCTCTCTCTCTCTCATTCTTCCTCTCCGAGCAGGGCGAATTGATCGCCTGACACGGTCCTAATGTCAAGCTGGGAGAACCCCTTGCCCTTTCTTCCACTGATGAGATGTGGTGGAAGCGATCCTCTTCCACCGTCAACTATCACGCCCTTGCCCTTGAATTCTTGTGAACCCGTAACGGAGTTTGCAAAGAACAGGCCCTCCCAAGAATTAGGATAGTAGAGCTCAATTTTGCCGCTGACTGACTTGTGTGTGGAGTGAAGAACCGAAAGCACGGGTCTGGCCATGCTAATTCCAGCAAGGTCAGACCCTTCCGGGAGAACAATGTATGGATCGCTACCATCCGTCGGATCATAAGGCTTGACGGGGGGGATCGTTTCGCCGATGGTAGCAAGGCTTGTCCACAGGGGCTCCAGAATCGTCACATGCGTATCGCCGCTCTTTGTGTCCGTGATGATTGTTGGCTTCGCCTTTTCGTTTATAGTTAACAAATTCGAGTCCAGCACTGGCCAGATTTGCAGCGTCATATCACCAGACTGCGATTTGAAAGACGCCGACGAGCTCGCGGCGACATCGGCCGTGATATCTCCCGACGCCGTGATGATATCAATTGTGTAGTCACGTGGTGGGAATTCGCGATCTGGGCGAGCAGCCTTCTGAGCACTTGTGAGAGGCTCATCAATCTTGATCGTGCCTGAAGCGGAGCGCACACGAAGCTCTGCAGGGCGAACATTCTGAGGGTTCACGGGCTTCGGTCCAATGTTGGTGATGATATCGCCTGAGGCCGTCGAGATGTCGAGGAGGTCGTAAAGGGGATACCATCCCTTGACATTGCCGCTGGCCGTATGGATGCGGATTTCGCGGGATGAGAGTGTGTAAGGAACAACTTCCTTGCCCTTGATCGTTTTGATACCAGGGGAGGTGAGATCACCGCTGGCGCTTCGCATGTCAACCCCGTTCTGAACTCCCAGAACGACCCCCTCTTGGAGGTTGATGTCAAGCTGCTGGGTCTCAATGTTAAGATGTTGAAGGATAGCCTCACGATGAGTCGAGACCGTGATACGTATTTGGATGCAAGGGGCCTTGTCGGACAAGCTCCAGGCGATCCTGGATGGCACCTTGATCTCAAAGACTTGAGTTGTCTTGTCGAAGTCGGCTTTGACCCTGAGATTGTCGTGGTTGGAGATAACCTGCAGCTCGATACTAGTAGGCGAGGAATCATCTACAGGCCGAAGAATAACTTCACCAGAGACATGGGTGCTCCATCCTTCAAGGTCATCGGACTTGACCATTCTTTGTATAATGCTAAGGTTGCGATCAGATTGGATATCAATTTCCTCAATGACGGCGGCGAAGTGGTGGGGCTTTTGTAGGCAAGTTCGCGAAGGATTCCAGTCAAAGTTATCGCCGTTATCGGCAGGTGGTGCAACGGGATCGTTATCCTCGACTGGGTTTGAGTGTGACTAGCAATGATATCAGTCCAGATCTTGCATTATATCCACATGAGGCTTAAGTTACGCCATGATTAGACTTCATAGTAAAGCTACTGAAGATCATAAAAACGACAGAGAAAATGAGAAGCGAAGCAAGGATTGTCTTGACTTTCTTCCTGATGTTGAAGTTTGAGACGGAGTCTTTGAATTGTTGCCAACGTGATGGTTCTTGAGCTGAGTTGTAGGGGGTACTCATAGACTCTGGAGCATGGCTGATCAGAGGTCTACTCTCTTCAGGTCGACCCATTGTAGCTGTAGAAGCAAAGGTCTGATAGTTGTTCACTGTAGTTGGCGGCGAAGTTGTAGTAGGTGAGGGCGAGTAAGCAGGTGGTGCGTCAACAGGGTGAGCAAACAGGGGAGAAGGTCTTGGAGGAGAACGTGGCGTCGATGCAATGGGGTTCTCTGAGCCACTCGCGTTCTCGTGTGATGAGGCAGTGCTTTCAAGGTTGTGTTCAGCAGAGCCTCCGCCGGTATTTAACAACCTCCTCTCCCTCTCTGCCTCTTGGATCTTTGCATCGCGACTCAACTGAGTTGGGTCCTCGACAAGCACGTTTGGCACATGAGGTACGTTTTGTCCAGAGCGAGATGACGACGACTCAGACGACGCGTGGAAGTAACCGTCTGTTGGCGAGAGGGCATCACGTTCATCGTCAGAGTCGGCGGAATAGAGATTGTCAGAGTAAGGAGCAGGCATTTTGTCCTTGTCTCGTTATGGGCGTGGGGCGTGTAAGACGGTGCAATTGATCCAGACGCACGTCAAGTACCCCTTTTTTTATTGAAGTAAGAAGGTGGTTAAGGTGATGCGTACGTGGCACTCGTCGCAAAAGGAATCTGAGCGTGCTCACGCCGTGTATCACCAGATTATTGAGGTCAAGAATGCCAAACGAGATGAAAGAAGGATGAAGTTGAGTTACGGCGCGGATGAGGAAAAAAAGAGGGGAACAGGTCTTGCTTACAGCAGCTCTCTCTTTTTGTTTCCTACAATCGGCCTATGGCCATGGTTCTAGACTGGATATTCCTGCTCGGTTACGTTGCTTGGTTGCGATGCTTCTGATCATGTATGTATCTATGTATCTATGTATCTAACGACGTTGGCCGATCACGCTATTGCTCTTTTGGGGGCGAGCGTTGAACATGCATATGAAGCGGCGTAATACTGCAAAAAGTCCGACCAAGCTATCCATTTATCGTGTTTTCCAACTTGTAAGACATGGATGGATGGTATGTGCAATGCTTCCTTACTTACTTGGCTATACGGTATTTTCAATATTATGAGTTATATTATCTCTACCTCTGGAGTTTCTTTTCTTTGTAACTATTTGTTTCTTCTTCCTACCTATGATGCACCTTCTCTTGAAAAGTCTTCAGTTCCCTCGTCTTATCTTCCGTCTCCCACCAGAGCAAGGATCCTCTATCACATTACAAAAGTTCCACCAACCTTCACAACCCCGCAATCCTCTTTCGAACCCTTGCCAACTGCCATTCCCGTGCAAGCTCAAGTCATGGTTGCAATGTTGCGTAAGCCCTGCAGCAAAGGCCGCGAGTTCTTGACATGCGGCTGACGACAACCTGTGACTGTGGAAGATGAAATAACGAGTCAAAATCGCGAAATGACGTTTGCTGATCGATAAAGGGCAGCAAGCATACGTGATAGGGCTGATTGATAACGAGTACATACTTCTTGCCCCAGCTACCCAAGCCGAGCTCGGATCTGCAGTGCGGTAATAAGCTTCTTTTTGTACAGTAAGCTGCCAAAGCCATGATGAGCTTGATGAACAGCTCCCTCTGGACCTCCTTTCAGGCTTAAGCTCAGGACACATTCACTCCAGCAGTGGGCTTCACTCTACAAACTCCCGCCATGCCTTCATAATTGTTACCTTCTTATGGTTGTTATTGCAGTCCAACGAATTCTCAAGTTCCCCAGGACGCCCCTCCTGTATGAACCATTCCGCCGGAGCCGGCCCCACATCTCCGGCTCCGGTTCCATGTCCGAAATGGGCATACTCGATCCCGGATGTTTTCCATGACCTCTCGCAGCTAGCCCGCCGCCTTTCGCAATTCAACAATTTCATACATGGCGAGTCAGAGTAACTTTCATTATCGTTTCAAAACTAGTCGAGGAAACTGATGGATTCATCACCAGACCTCCTCTTCTTGTAACCACTTCTATCTTGAACAAGGAAATATCCACCCAGTTCTAACCACTGACTCCCAGCACCTCCAAAAATGAGAAATATGCAGTGCCAGCCGCATCACCGCCTCGTCTTCTAACGATGGCTGCTGGTCACTTTCTTCTTATATATCAATCCCTTCAACGCCAGAATATTCCCCCGTCGTAACGCAATGCCATCCAATCGCTAGATCCTCGCTTTCCAGAATGTTGAGTGAAATTTGCGTGCGTGCGTGCGTGCGTGCGTGCGTGTGTATAGTAAATGTTAATTGTGAAACAGGGGATGATCCCTTCAGTTTCTTGTGTTTGTCCCTTTTATCTCATAGCTAGTTGGGGCTTCTAGCTCAATCCAAGAATTCTCTTTGAATTCTCGTACACCACCCAAGTGATACTCAAGGCGGGAGCAACCTTCAGAAGGTTAGGTGTAAGGCCCTTATATAAGCCCCGATATCCTTCTCGTTGGATCGTTTTCTTCGTTACGTCCCAGATACCAGTGTATGTTGCAGGATGCATGGCTGTGCCTTGGGTCTGAAGTCGTGTTCGCACCACGTTCAGGGGGTAGACAACGCTGGCTCCAAAGGCTCCAGACGTGGCGCCGATGATGCCCGTGGCAATATTTCCGGGTTTGACATCGTCTTCATGGACGTTGTTCTCCCGAGCATAGTACGACTTGTAAGTCTTTTTTAGCAGTTCAAAAGTGCCCATGTCAATAGCACTGTAGGGGAACATTCCCACAAGTCCCATAGTCAATCCTCGATAGCAGGCACGCACACCACCATCTGCATACATTTTCACAGCTGTTTGACGAACCAAAGCCGCACCTTGAAGACCGTCCTTGACAGTCTCACATTGTAGGCGGAACTTGAGGGTATCGAGGGGGTAAACCGAAGCCCTGCCAATTATCAGTCTCTAGCCTCTGTCGAGACTTCTGTCAGACTTACTGTGCTATCATGCCAGCAAAGCCACCCGAGGCGAATTTTGACCACGAACTGAGACGCTTGGGATCACCATGGCCCTCGAAGTTGGCAAGAGCGCGTTTTGCGGCTTCATACGAGCCAAATTTAATGGCCGTCTCAGGCATGATTTTGATGACATTGAGGCCGTTTCCTAGTCTTATTAGCATATTCCGTCACATCCAGGGCCAATCTGAACCCTAGCCATATGATGCAGACTTACCAGCAAAAAGACTTCGAACGCCCCCTGACCGAACAAGATCTCGGAAAGCATCGCCGAACGGTTTTGCTGCGTTTTTTAGAGCAGCGAGAGGACGGCCTTGTCGAAATGCTGCACCCGCGGTCTCGGTACGACTGGACGTATTCACAAGCAGATAGACCTTCAGCCGATCGAGAGGCGCAGTAGCCGTACGCGACACTCCACCGGCGATGGCACCTGCTAGAAAGTAGCCTGGATCGGGTACAAATTGTGTTAGTCTAAACTTCTTGTGCACTGCTGTTGAAGCTCCAGTGGTGTGTTCATGTCCAGGTCCATGGGTGCCATCGTCGACGTGTTGTGTAAGCGTTTCGGCGATTTCCTGCGATATCTCGGTAGCTGCATCATCGTAGTCAGGATATGAGACTACGGCCGCGGTAGCCATGTTCTCGGTCTGGTTCGGGGACTCATCCGGATTTGAGGTGTTGGGTTGACTGACGGAAGTCGATGTCCGGTCGGGTGAAGGTATAGGTCTTGGGAAATCGTAGGGGAAAGCGACTCGTAGAAGAGAGCCGAAAAGGGTGATGAAAAGAGAGCGGAAGCCGTCCGTACCTAGACCCTCTAATGTTTCCTCGCTCACAAGTGTGTCTCCTTCTGGAGTCACGCTGACCACAGAGTAGTAAAAGTCAAGTACGGCATGAAGTTGGGAGTCGTGGTCGTGGGGCGGCATAAATAGTAGGAAGTTTCTGAGAGTTCATGATCAGCTGCAAAGTCCATGATCGACAAGGAGACGTCTCGAGCAATGTCTCGACTTCGAGAAACCGGCCGCAAATGTATCGCCGGTGGTAGTGATTGGGCTTGGCACATGACGTTATGAGGGTTATCCCCGCCAAAATGACTGAGGGTCAGTCATGAGCTCTGAGCATCTGATGGGATGCGACTGACAGCCGGTGGAGTTCCCAATAGGAAAAATGCAACAAAAAGAGCACCCAGATAGAATTGGAAATAAAGTACTGACCGCCATTCGTCAAATGTGACATAACCGTCATTGTTGAGGTCCATATCATCGAAGAACTCGGTAAGGCGGCGGTTCGATAACGTGAGTCCGGCATTCTTAAAAGCTGTTTGGAGCTCAAGTTTGTCCAATTTTCCATTCCCATCTTTATCAATTGATCGAAATAGGGCAAAAAGCTGGCGCTCTGCATTTTCGACAAATTTTCGGAACTCTAAAGGGTGCGAACAGCCAAAAGTAAGCTTTCAACATCGTGGCCGTAGGTACCGAGGCAATATCTGAAGAGTTGGAGCTCCAAAGTCAGAGGCAGATTTGCGTACCGTTGTATTGTATCTTGCCATCGCCGTTTTGATCCACCTCTTCCATTATACGCTTCAGCATATCGTCGGCATTCTTCATTGCTGTAGTTGCTCATCAGTATCTCTGCCAAGCTTGAGCCCCTCTCGCTTACGATGGTCAATCCTTCGAAGCCCCTTCCGTAGACCCTTTAGGTCAAGTTCACCAGTGTGATCAGGCTCGAGGCTCGCCCAGAGCTTCTCAACACGAGCATCGCGAGAGTTCTGGGGCTCCCTAAACCCCTCTTCGAGTTCCTCCACAATGTTTGTCACGCTCATGACGACAGTTGTAACTGCAATGGTGGCATATCTCGTTCCCGCAAGATTTCAGGTACGTCGGGCGCAACAGGCGCAAAAAGCCCTGTGCTGCAGGAGAGCGTCGCTGCGGAGATGAAATCGAGGTACGGCGACTTCGAGGGAGGTATTGTCGGGTTACCGGAAGTTCATGGCTAAACTGTCGTAGGAAGGATTCGGGTCGGAAAGGAAAAGATGGTGTTGAAGTGCCAATACCAATTGACAAGCTGTGACGTTGGTAGCTGAATGAAACCCCCCAAACAGGGTTAACGTTTTGCTGCTCTGGGCCGGGCTTGCTAAAAAACCCAGTGCCTGTATCCGTATGTACCAGATACCAAATACTATGTACAGTGGAGCTTAGCCCCGTCCGTCATGGCCCGTCCGTAGGTGGTGGCTATCAACAGCCGTCCTGCCCGCTCTTGGGCACTGCTTCGAAGCCTGGCGATCAATCAGAGGCACTGTATTATGATTAGTGCCCCGGAAGGACCCGCTGAGCTATGCTTTTGCTGTCCCTAGCTGCCAATATCCTCGCTCTGTCTCGGCATAAACTCCTGGCTCCTCATCTCGACGGAATTCTTTTCATGTTGCAAATATTCACATGATCTACAGACTAGCCAAGTGAAAGACATGTTCAGTCAGTAGATTAATGATTCAGTATAATGTCTGAGTGCCCTAGAAATAGTTCTTATCTGAAGTTCGCAAGTCTCATAACTTATAATCGGGTGGCTCTTTAA